ATATTAAAATTATGAAAAAGTTGTTTAAAGTAATGATTCAACGACTCACTCATAAACCTACTGGATGAATCAGAGTTTTTGAACGATTCTCTTGAATAAATGATTCATTCAATTATACATTTTTTAAATACATTGCGAAACAATGCAATCGACACAACCGTTATGTGGCAGTTACTTTCAAACGCGGATTTGCTCTATTTTGGTCACGCTACCATAGACGGCAATGTTTGTATCTGAATTATAAACTTTCATCCCAGTATTTCTGTGATAATATGAATGACTGTATGACAGAAATAATACTGTGTAGTTGAAAAGACTGTTTGTGAAGCTGTTTCTTAACCAAACATGGTAACTGCTCTGTGTGTCAGCGGCAGTGCGAACGCAGATTTGAATGATCCGGTAAGACTTTGTCAAAGGTTTAATAGACACGGGAGAATCGTTGTCATTTAGAAATGAGATTGTGTGGTTGTCTGAATCGAGATCGCGATCTTTTAACGATTAATCGTGCAGCTCTAATATGGACCCCCTACGTAATTTTTTTCCCATGTTTAAATTCACCTGTCCCATTGAGACAACCATACGTCAGCTAGGCTGATTCTCTCTTTTTTTTTTTAAGTCACTGTGACTCTGTGGCATCAAAACTTTACTCTGTTTGTTTGAGAATCGCAACTCGCCCAACACAGCAACACCAGCTCAACCAATAGTGAGAGTTTGGGGCAGAAGTAATCAATTTGCCATCTAATAGAAAATTGGAAAGTGTTTGGGAAACCTGTTCGAAAACAACCATTACTATATATATTTTTTTCATCTGGTGCCAATAGTGGCATATAAATGACACACTTTAACACAAGCAAAAACAGCTCAAGGAACATTGAAAGGAGCTGCTTTGACCGCTCAACGAAAACAGTTTCAGCGGATGAGCTGTCCGACTAGATTCCTCAAGCAGGAGCACATCTGCTTCAACAGCAGCGTCAGAAACAGACACGGTTCAGCACCTGTTGTTCTCCTCAGGACTGTGACCTTCACTCCAGCACACATGAACACACAATGACTGATGCTCCTATTCTCACCTGAGGGGAAGCGGCGGGAAATGAATAAGCTCAGTGATGTAAAACACGGTTTGGAATCACTGCCAATCCCTATATCGCTTATAAACACCCGACAGAAAGACCATAAGACTGGAAAAACCACCAGGCTACTTAAAGGTAGCATGTGACTGTACTCTTAAAAACACTTTTGTTGTATATGCGCTGCGATATAAATCTCAAAATGACACTTGCATGTGTCAATTATTCATTATAGTAAATAATAATATAGGAAATGACAAGTACTAATACAAAATCTCAGTTTTAGTAACGCTCAAGCAATATCCTGGAAAACAGAGCTCACAAAGGTATGCAGTTTGTTTCTTTAGGTTTCAGCTTCCATTCATCTCTCATTATCTTTACAGTCTCAAAGCCTGCATCACATATTGCGCTCGCAGTCTTCTGAAAACAGCTGCCACTCAACCTGCAGACGCTCAGCTTTCTCACCTGATGATATTCACACACACCATGCGCCGAGACTCGGGTTCCAGCGACACTCTCAATATGAGTTTATGCACCATTACAAACACTAATGTCATCGAGCACTACTGTCGCACAGGACACGGCTAAAAATATTTACGTGTAAAATACACGTAAAAAACGTGTATTTTATCACCGGAATGCGATTTTTACAGGGAATTATTTAAATAATTATTTTGTGTTTGTCAAAAACAAAAACCAAGATGTGAGCTTCAAATTAGATGTCTATTTATTTATCAACTTTTAATTAGTTTAGCTTGCACTTTCTGATCAGCAAATACAAAGAAACCGCGTGAGGGAGTTTAAGTCACCTGCTTTATGACTGTCTCTTGCCACAAGACTGCATAACATTTTCTCATACTTTCGTTGCAACATTAATCTTTCGCACACACAGACAAAGTAATGACTCTGTCAGAGCGAAGTTAGTTTAGGGGAGTAAAGTCTCTCCAGATGCGTCTGCGACAGAATCACATCTGAAGAAGAGTTCTGGAGATATTTTTACCTGGAGTGTGAAGCGTTCACGTCCGCAGCAGCCCCTCCGTGTTCAGCGCTCGGACTCTCGCTGCTCTTTAAAGAGCTCCTCATCCATTCCCGAGCACTATTGCACAGATTATCGCTGGTTTTCTCTGCGAGGCTCTGCTGCAGTAAGGCGGTCTGGATCGAGCCGGGACCGGACACCGTGAGGAAGTGCAGCGCTGCGGTCCCGCTCTCGCATTTATCCAGATCCACACTCCTCACCTTCCGCCTCCACTGCGAACTCTCCCCGGCATTTCTCTTCACTTTCCCGCTGCTGTTCGAAAGTGTGGAGCCGCCGGAACTGCCCTGAAGTCCGTTCCCGACGTTTGTGCCGCTACTGGAGTCTAATAATCCGCCTAACGACGACGCACGGCTCCCCGCCGTCGCCATTTTCTGTCCTGAATTTTTGTCACTTAATAGATTCTATGAGAGAGGGAGTGGCGGGAATTTGGGGGAGGGTGAGAGGGAGGGGCTTCCGGATAAATGGGAGGGGCTGTCTGCAAAGTGGGAGGGGCTAAGGGAGTCCTTCGGGAACTTACCTGCGTGCACGGCGTCACACAACTTACAGGGGTCATATCATAAGCGATCATTTTTTCTTGGTCTTTTGAAATAAATGTCGAAAACTATGAAAATATACCTTAATAACTTTTCAGAACTCAAAACTCCCAGTCCAAAGAAAGATATTTCTGTGGTGTTTTTATTATTTATTATTATTTTATTTTTCATTCTTTAGAATATTCTCTTTAACTTACTCTCTTTTTAACTCACTGACAAGAACATAATGTTTTTTTTGTTTTTTTGCGATAATTCAACAAGGTGAAGAGCAAAGAATGTGCACTCGTGCTTTATGGATGCATGCCATGGAGAATGATGGGAAATGTAGTTTTATCACAGAGGTCTTTCAACAGTATTGAGCAGTATATTCTGGTCAATTTTATCATTATTCTTCATCACCATGAATTGTACTCACTGTATAGTATTATATTGAAATGAAATGCTGAGTTAAAAAGAAAATTTGACAGGTAATCACAGCATTCATGTGTGCTCATATTCCAATCAGAGTTAAAGACAGTATAAGCTTTATAAAGGGCTAATTCTAAAATCAAATATCCGCTCACAATTACACATCAGCAATGCCTATATAGTGTTCAGCAACACTTTTCAAACTCATTGGCCATTGTAAATGACCCATCTAATTACAATGAGCAGTGAGAATTAGTCAGTTACTTCAGAATTGTACTTTTATTCCTATACATCAGAAGAAGAAGGTGATCTTGCCTCCAACTGACATAAGCGTCATATGAAAAAGGAAAGTTGCTTATAGCACCTAAGACTCTGCACAAATTTCTGAAGCACCCAAAATGTAGGTTTGTTAAATTTGTTATTTGGCACTTATGATGTCTGGCTTCAACAGTCAGAGATAAATAAACAATTTCAAAGAAGTGTGTATTTGCAAAAGCTGTAGTTTTATCACAGAGATCTTTCAACAGTATAGAGCAGTATATTCTGGTCAATTTTATCATTATTCTTCATCACCATGAATTGTACTCACTGTATAGTATTATATTGAAATGAAATGCTGAGTTAAAAAGTAAATTTGACAGGTAATCACAGCATTCATGTGTGCTCATATTCCAATCAGAGTTAAAGACAGTATAAGCTTTATAAAGGGCTAATTCTAAAATCAAATATCCGCCCACAATTACACATCAGCAATGCCTATATAGTGTTCAGCAACACTTTTCAAACTCATTGGCCATTGTAAATGACCCATCTAATTACAATGAGCAGTGAGAAGTTAGTCAGTTACTTCAGAATTGTACTTTTATTCCTATACATCAGAAGAAGAAGGTGATCTTGCCTCCAACTGACATAAGCGTCATATGAAAAAGGAAAGTTGCTTATAGCACCTAAGACTCTGCACAAATTTCTAAAGCACCCAAAATGTAGGTTTGTTAAATTTGTTATTTGGCACTTATGATGTCTGGCTTCAACAGTCAGAGATCAATAAACAATTTCAAAGAAGTGTGTATTTGCAAAAGCTATCAGACACTCACACCTGCTCTGGCCCCATCACTGCTGCAATGACTTGTAAACTCAAAAAAAAAATCCCTAAAAATAGGGCATATAAGGAATAATATGAAGGAATCTTTTCAGTGTTTTTTATTTGATTTTGAATTTTGCACTGCATTGCATTGTGTTTTAGAGTTCACGGAAATGTCCACAAAATAATGGATAATACTGGAAGAAAATTACTAGTATTTTTTTTTTAAACAGTGATCATTACAAGTGTTTTTTGTATTAAAAAAAAAAAAAAAGCATGGGATTTATACACCAATGCATTATTTTTAAGAGTAGATCCGACCTTTTAGAGGGTTTCCATCCCTCATGGGAAGCCTACTCTCTTTCTAGCAATTTGGCTTATTGTTCTGGCCCAGGGCAGAAAGCTATGCAAGTAATATGTAAGCAGTTAACATTGCAAACACTGTACATCACTTGGATGGGCTGAGATGTTAAACCGCTGTGCTGTACAGTAAGTTCTTAGCTTTATCTTTTTCTTCTGTTTCTATCATGTTCTCTTTCTAGCAATTTGGCTTATTGTTCTGGCCCAGGGCAGAAAGCTATGCAAGTAATATGTAAGCAGTTAACATTGCAAACACTGTACATCACTTGGATGGGCTGAGATGTTAAACCGCTGTGCTGTACAGTAAGTTCTTAGCTTTATCTTTTTCTTCTGTTTCTATCATGTGAAAGAGTGTTCAACCGATTTGATCAACAATATCCGATTATTTATCTAATCATTTGACTGGATTACAGTTAAAAAAAAATTTGTTTCTCTCATTTCTCTCCTCAAAGAGTGCTTTAAAAACCTTTGCTTCACTTTTAATTCAATAATGGAAAATCAATGGCTGTAATCATTAAATCAACCATAATTCATCTATTGTTGTGCATAGATGAACAATTATATTCTAAACTTAACTTCGTCTGAAGCTGTAACATAGTAATTACCTTGTTGAAAACCGTTTCTGATCCAGGAAGCATGCACAAATATTCTAACAGTTGCTTACCATCCTCAGCCACAGCATCTCATAGCATCTAATGTTATCCACAAAACACATCTTCAGTCCTTTAGTGCAGCTGGACAGGAAGTGCTAGCTAGACAAAACCAACAAGACATCTAGACCCTTATACCCATGAACAAACACGTTTCAGAACCTGTAGGTACCAGCTATCACATATATTGTGGTTTTAAAGAGATGCATGACGCAGAATTACCAAAAACAGATTCTTTAATAAACATTATATACAACACATAGCATAAGACGAGAAATGACAAAGGACTGAGCAGAACATATACACAGGGTTAACAAGAGAACTTAATGATAAACAGGTGAACATAATCAGTAACTAAGGATACTAATAAGGAGACACTAAAGACTAAACTGAAAGAATATGAAACCAAGACATGAACAAAAACACAATTAAACGAGACACAATCCTGCCACCAACCAAATAAGTGTACTTTAAAGCATGACAAGAGATTATTCAAAGGTAATTATTTAAAACATACTTTAAAGTAAAACTTTTTAAATAGATATTATTACAAAAGTATACTTAAGTGTGCGAAGCAGTCTTGAAAGTGTACTCTCTTAAGTACATTTAAGTGACCTTTTATGTCATTTATATTATATTATCTGCAATTTAAAAAAAAAAACTTTTTTTATTTGAAGAAGACTACAAGTGCACATTCAATAAATTAAGAACACTTATTTTTTCACAAGAGTATAATGACAATACAGATAAGAACTCCTCTTTATGGAATAGATAGACCACATATATTCGGAAGGTAAATGCATTTTTTTCTGGGTTTAAAATTCATGGTGAATTGATTGTACGTGAATGTTTTGTTATTTTATTAATGTTTGTTATTTTTTACATACTGGTAAATAAACATTACAATTCCCCTCAATCTGGATTGAGTAACAGATGTTCTCTCCCTTAAACAACTCTCAAAATATCCATCTTTCCACTGCAGAGGAAACAGAAGCTGCATCTGAAGTGGCATTAGATGTATTTACTCAGACTGTTTGATGAAGCTGAGGTGCCATAAATGCATTTAATAATTTTTTGAACATACAAATAGGAAATATTGGGAAAAAAGCAATGATATTTTTAAATATGAAACCAAACCACCAGTAGGTGGCGGCAAATGTCTGTTTTAATGAGTGAGTCATTTATTCATTCACTCAACCGATTCGTTCAAACGGCTGATTCAGAAACGAGGCAAGTGACAGTCTTTATGAATGGGCTACTGAATCATTGACTCAGTCGATTCGTTCAAAATCGTGGATTCATTCAGTAACGAAATACCGCTGTGTTACTCAGAGACACACAACAGTTCTGCTGTGACTTTGATTGGAAAGATTTCGTTTGCGAGCAATATTGTGTCTAAAATGTAAGTCAATTAATTTTAACTTCTTGTTTATTGAACTACTATTGTATAAAATCAGTGTCACACTGCAATCATGTTGATATTGCTATAAGCGGAAACACCTTGGCCGTGTAATATCGCTTAGGCCTACCTAAATCATATTTTATCATTTTTTTTCTACCGCAGTATGCACCTATAACTTTCTGTGAGTGCTGTTGCGCTCATTTGTTTTGATTTGTGCACGAGTCTCTCTCACTCAGGCTGCGCGAGCCTCATCTGGCACGACATAAACACATGTTTACATGCGGGTGTGACGTCAAAACAGACCGGCTTGGAATCGGCACACCGATCATGAGGAAAATCTGGCAGAATTTATTAGGCCCTGTTACCCTATTTCCACCTTTCTGACTTTTATTGAGAGTTAATTGTGTCCTATTTAATGCTGAATGAGAGATTAGAGAAATCTTGCTTTAATTTCTACACCATTGCAGCAAATCTACACAAGACAAAAGACTTCCAGTACTTCCCACAGTAAACGACTCGTATGCAAACAAAGAGCTGTCTTGACTGCCATGTTTAACACTCTTAATACAGAAAAGACCTTTTCAGTTTTCCAGGAGCATTTTAAATTTTCAAATCCATATTCAAATGGGTAATCTATGGGTTAAATACAACGAATTCACAACATTTGCATATTTACATATCATTTCCTTATTCTTCCATTATACTTTAATTTGTATTTAATTTAGCATTGGCATTTTTATCCACAATCATCACAAATTCACTTATCATTCTAACTCTTTGGTTGAAAAAACTTTTATAGAGTAAAACACTATGGTATTCAGTTGGCAGCTAATTGTGACCCTGGACCACAAAACCAGTCATAAGGGTACATTTTTCGAAACTGAGATTTATACACCATCTCAAAGCTGAATAAATAAGCTTTTCATCTACAGTATGGTTTGTTAGGA